ATAACAATTTAAATATTAATAACTTAAGCGAAGATGATAATTTAAATGAGGATGATAATTCAAGTGAAGATGATAATTTAAATGAAGACGATGATGACCTTATAGTTCAATCCTCACCTATTACCAGATATTTTCTATCATCTGAAGCTTCTACAAAATCAAAATCAAAAGCAAAAGCAATAAATAAAAAAAAAAGGCCCGTAAAAAGCTGGGTATGGAAATATACCCGCCGAGATAAATTAACAAAAAAAAAATATTGTTTAGTCCATATAAATAATGATGATGGTACTTCTAAACATTGCAAAACAGAATTTAAACCCAAAACATCAACAACAAGTATAGCTGCATATTTATACACTAAACACCAAATTTTTAAAGTAAAAAAATGGGAAACACAACCATCTACATCATCAACCACTCAACTAACGATCGATACAATATTCCAAAACCAAGCAGAAAACACCACTCCTCTTTCTGAAAATCAACAAATTCGTATTTCATATCGGTTAGTCGTCTGGATAGTGGAATCAATGATGCCTTTAGATTGTATAAATGATGACCGGTTTCAGGATTTTTGTTATGAGATTAATAGACGGTTTGAGGTTCCCTGCACTAACACAGTTAAAAATATAATTAAAGAATCAGTACTTTATATACATGCCACTTTAAAAGAGATGATACACCAAACTATGATTTTTGTTTGTATAACAACTGATCTATGGACACAAAATCATGTTCCATATATTGGTATCACCGCATATTGGCTTTCTGAAGATTTCATTATGTACCAGTTTCTTATTACAATTGAGCATTTCTTTACCCACATACAGGAGATCGAATCGAAGATTTTCTATGTAAAGTTCTTGTTGAGTAGGAGATATTTGATAAACTTAGTACTGTAATAACTGATAATACAACATCCATGGTGAAAGCAATTCGACAATTAGACACTACCCATCTTGGCTGTATAGCCCACACTATTCATCTTGCAGTTACGGATAGTTTGAAAGAATGTGAAACCTTAATTGGAAGTGCAAAGTTATTAAATAATTTTTTAGTAAAATGTGATAAATACAGGTAGAGATAGTGATTAATCAAAAGTTTTTGACGTTCAGTTTTTTTTTTCTTATATAGTGCAAATTATCTATTCATATCAAATCTGTACCACCTAAGTAATTTAAAGATCACAATATTTAATCAACCAAATAATATCTTATCGACTAATAGTCCTTGAAAATTTTTTTTTTAAATTGTATCTCCTCCGTGAATATGTATAAATTTTTTTAAAAAAAAAAAAAAAAAAAGTAAATTTATAGATCTTATTCCCAACTATAAAGTTACATTTTTTTTTTTTGTTAAATACTCATTGAGGAGTTGTGGCTTTGGGTATCTTTAGATAATTTGCACCATATACCTGATTGAATTTAATGATTGTTATATTCAATCTTTATAATAAACGGCTACACTGATTCAGTGAATAATAAGAAGATAATTAACCATAATGTGATCGGTCATCATCTTTAAATACAGATTGCAATTTCGAAAGATTCAACATGAGATCATTGAAAAAAAAAGAAATACAAGTCAGTCTACTATGAATATACATATCTTGGAGCCTATATCAAGC